TGTTATTATTATTAAGTCAATACAAACAAGAATACAATTAGTCTTTTTTGGTAATTTTGTTTTTAAATCGTTTCCAAATCGCATTGTCATTCAAGAATATGGGTAATCACATCGCTTCCAAATCGCATTTCCATTCATGATTTTAACTAATCGCATCGCTCCCAAATCGTATTGTTTCTGCACTCAAATCGCAGTCGCTTCCAAAACGGATTGCCATTGGGAGCCTTCATCGCGGCTCATACGACTGTGGTGACGGAACAATACCAAAAACGACGGGACTTGGTGTTTAACAAAATCCAAAAGTTCTTAAATATTTTATCTATTTTACGAATAGTCTTTTTAATTATTACCCAGTCCAATTATAACCCCAAACATTTCATAATCCATTCAAAAATACAAAAGAAAACAAATTCTTAAGAGTGTCCAAACTGGGATTAAACTCCTCAAACAACTGCAAATTCATTCATAGCTAGTAAATAAGCAAAGAGACTAAAATTGAGATTCATAAGCATCATTGAATAAACATTGACCACAAAATCGAAACCATTAGGGTTTGTACACATGTCTCGCAGTCAATCATAATGTCTCTACGCTATATTCACACGCCGTTCAATCGTCTTTTCTCGTGCTCTCTTTTGCACTGTTCCTTCAACTACTATCTCACCACTCTTTCGACCATTCTCTCGACCACCATTTTCCAACCGTTCTCATCTGATTTCTCGACCATTCAGCCGAATTCGACTGACCTTCTTAAACTTGGAGCCATTCCTCGGTTTCTGGTTGGTCACTTTGATTTCCTTGACACAACGAAATCATCTCTAAGATCTTCAGGCTACGAAGGGCTATATTTGGGAGGAAATCACGTCGTTGGTGTGTAGAAGGAGCATATGAAGCCGCGACCGAGGTCAACAACTTCATGTCACAGTAAGCTATGTAAAACATTAAAAACAGACCAAACAACACTTTCGACTGATATATCTTATGCTGATTGTAACACTTGTTTGAGAAATAGCGTTGGGAATTATTAGAATCTAGAGAGATTTATCAAGAAATTGGCAGTGAGTTTCTTCATTTGTGTGTGATAGTTTTCAGCGAAATCAATATTTTATGTTTTTTTTCTTTGTTTTCATTGAAATTTGAATTCCGTACTGTTCAAGCTGCAACAAACGACTTCTCTAAGGAGAATAATTTCGAGAAAGGTGGGTTTGATCTCATTTTATCTCGATTATCGATATCGAATAAAAACATATATTTTCTTATATCACCAATCAACAATGTAAAGGGAAAACTACAAAACGTTCAAGAAATAGGGCTCTTGTGTGTTCATTGTAGATTCATTGATCACAAAGAATGTTTCAAGAAACGAGATGATGAAATGCATCAACTTAACGCTCTTGTGTGTTCAAGAGAGTGTTGATAACACAAGATATCAAGAGACTGGTTTATCTGATAAACCGAGTAAAACGTATTGAATTATAACTGAACAATAATTAAACCAGAAAGATTGAATATTCGGATTGGTTTAAAGCCGGTTTGCTTTACTTTGTTTGAGCCGATAGATAAACAAGAACCCAAAAGGTTGGGATCTGAATCCTAAACCGAATTAACCAATTGAATCGGATTTTAAACCGGACAGGTTGGGTTTGACAAGTACACATGAGCCAAAGAGGTTGGGTCAGAGCCGAATCTGTGTCTGATTGTCGCAACGAGATGGCTAAGTTATCCAAAACAAGACTGTTGTTAGCCCCACCGTGAGGACACATGGGAAGCTCATGCAAAAAATTGGTGAGCGTACACGTGGCACTCTCTCATGCTCAAAAAATTTCAAAGAATGTGTACAGATTTGGGCACGGAACGGAAGTGTGAAACGTGAAGCAACCCCTTTTAAACACACACAAGAACCAACCCAATACGCATCATAAAGAACCCTAAATTCCAG